TTTTCGACCGAGTCGGCCGAATATGTGATATTTTTTTATTTTTTAATTTCCACAAAATCGCTTAGTTTCTGAGCCAACTGAACTACCGTTTTTTTTTTCAAGAGCATCTATATTTTAGAAACTTTTTCAAGCTGGGATAATAAATATACGCAAAATTTAGTTTTCTGTGCAAGCATTTCTGGTCAATTGATTCGGCTCAGACAAGACTTTAAATTGAATCGAGGCTTACTTATTGGTTAAATTTTGATTTATACGGTGGATTGATATGCGCTTTCGATTGATGCGCTTTCGACTGATGCTCTTTCGGTAGACTGATATTACCGGTCGAGGTCCGCGATTGATTTTTAGACTTTTAAAATTACGCTGGTGTTGATTCTACTACCAAAAAGTCATAGTCTGGACAAGTTTTGATAGTCGCAGAAAAAATCTACAAGTATCCAATTTTGGGATAGTCTGAAAGTTAGTCACGACACAGTCTGAAAATTAGTTCCAAAAGCCTGAAAGAGTTGCGACAGTCTGAAAATTACTCGGCATAGTCTAGACGTAAAGTCGAAACAGTCTGAACATTAATCGTGGTCTTGGAAGTTGCGCATGCCAATCGGTTAAATTTTCTTCGGCCGCGCCGGTCGCGGTCAACTTTTTTTCAGTTGCCTTTGCCGCCGATAACTTTTTTTGGGTCATGGAGGTCTCATGCACAATTTTTTGGACTGGAAAGTCTACAAAAAGTCAAATTTTGACTCGGATGGTCTGAAAATACCCAATTTTGGTCGCGATAGTCTAAAAAAACAACATAATTTGGCAGTGGTAGCCTTATCATGAAACCACAAAAATAGGGCAGGAAATTAATCAAACGCTTTGGTTGGCAAGGGTTGATCCATAAACAGACTAGATTCCAGACACCAAATTTTCCAGACACCGGGCAATTGCGATATGGAAAACTCGTTCCCGTTTAGATATATCATTCGTCAGTGCTCGCGGCATGATACGACAACCGCATTCAAATAAGTTTGTTTATTTTTCGACTGTGCTCGGGGTATGTTTCGAGTTTTTAATCGACACAAATCTCTGTCTTGCGTAATTTTTTGCTTTCGAGCTGACATTGTGCTGAAACATAAAAATGAGCACCTTGGCCAGAAGAAGATACCGCTGCGTATATTTACTTACGAAACACTTAAAATCAGGAAAAGTAAACTACAAAAAAAAACGATTAAATGATTAGTTTATTTGTGGTATCAGATTCGATTTTTTTTAAATAAAAAAAATTAACTCGTCTTTTCAAGAAAGCGAAGTCCAACTAACATACAAAAATAATCACATGATCCCATTTTGGAAAATGATCCAGAGTGCCAGTTGGTTTCCTCGCCAATTGAAAGAAAACTGGCTACAGAAATCCAACTCCATCGATTATATTGATTGCTGGTTGAGCTTTTTTAATGCTTTTTTGTCAAGAGTGTAAAAAAAACTGAATCAGGCGTAACGTGGTAGTTGGTATTATTTTAGCTTAATTTCGCTTAAGTTTAATAAAGCAAGCTAAGGCAATTTTAATTTAAGTTACAGTTCTTTGTTAATCTAAGCTACACTTTCTTTGTTGACAGTTTCTTCATATTCAACTACTTTCTGAGCACTTCTAAGTGTTTATGCATGCTTTTTGGTAGTAACTTTATAGATAAGTTTTTTCACAAAACGATGTTTTCGGTTGAGGGTTGTCTCTCTCTCTCTCTCTCTCTCTCTCTCTCTCTCTCTCTCTGTGTGTGTGTGTGTGTGTGTGTGTGTGTGTTTACTAGATAGAGCCCTCGGTTTTATGTCCAGTTCTCATGGGCAAAGAGCTCTGAACCAAAAAAAATCCTCTACGCAACCAAAAATGGCTGCGAATGACATTAAGCGGACATCCACCCTCTGGAATACTGAGACACAGTAGCGTACCGAGGGGGGGGGGAGGAAGGCAGGGGGCATTTTTTGCTGAACAACCTCCAATTTTTCTTAAGGCGCTTCAGGCAATTTTCAAAAAAGTGCCTAAGAACACCTTTTTTGGCCTGTTTTTTGGAAAGTGCCTGCGGCGCACAAAATAGGTTTCTTAAACAATTTTGGGAGAGCTCGGAAAATCAAATTGGTCAACATAAAAATTGGTCGGCAAAATTTTCGAAATTTTCTGAAAAACCGCAAACCGCAAACCGCCCCCCGCAAAAACCGCAAAAATCACCCCCTGTCTAAATTAGATAATTATTTTTGATTTTTCGACATGACACAGACCAAGGTCGTTACTTTATCTGACTATTAAAATTGTGATGAAGTTTTTTCGGCCAACTTTAAAAAGCATCTTTCAAAAACGGTAAGTCTTTTTGGTTTCCGTCTATTTCACTTCATTACTACTGCACTACCTACAGTTTGCGCCAAGTTTGAGTTCGGTCCTCCTCCTTTATATTGGAGCGGAGGTAGCTCTGTAGTAGTTTCATGCTCGAAAAAGAGCACTCAGCAGTGCACACCTTCACTGGGTGGGTAGCACCACTGGCATTGTGGCTTTGTGACACACCCTGGGGTATCGATGTACAGGGGGAAGCGCCACATGTTTTTCCAAACATCGAACTCGCTGGAGAAGTCACCATCTGAAAGTACGCCTTCGTATAACTGGATCAGATCATCAAAATCGTCCTTCTTTGCGTCCTTCTCACTTATGCAACGGGGTAGCAGCTTGCACACTTGAATACATGAAGAAGCTGCGCCAACGAAGCGCTCCTTGAGATCCATCAGGACAAAGTCAAGAAACGGCAGGTAAACGTTCTGTCTGAAGCGATCATAAGCCGATGATGCAACAGGAGGTCTGCCTCTTCTGCCCTCTTTTTGAATAACGCCAAGCTTTGCTGCGTCAGAATGGACTTTTTCGTAGCGGCCATTGCCTTCACCATGGCTCCATTGTTGAAATAGGTGACGCAAGTTCCAAATGTGATCCATCGACTGAGGCAATTCTAGCGAAGGTCCCAGAAGAGCAATGCTGGTAGCTTAAGTCGCTCCCAGCAGATGCTTCAAAGACATCAGGGCAATCAAGAGCTCTGACCGCATCATGCTAGCAAGATAAGCACAGCATTAGGAAGCACAGCTGTCCCTAGGCCAATTGCTGATGTCTTCTAGTGTAGTTTCAAGGGAAGGCTTCAGCTGGATAAAATTCAGAGCAGCATCATGTCGTTTAACCCATCGAGTGTCAGACTTCTTTGGGATTGCAGTTGACCAGCTGAATCACTGCTGAGCCCCCTGCTTTTTTATTTATCTCTTCCAGGTCGTTAAAGCAGAAGCAGAAGCGGCAGTAGAGTCCCTCTTGGATCATGGAGTAGGTCAGGAACAGGTATCTTTCCAGGTGCTGAGGGCCAAGAGTTCGCTTTTTTTGTTTTCCATGTTTCGTCACAAGGTCGTATGGCCAGACTTGCAGTGGGGGTTTGTTGGGGTTGTCCAGCAGTGTAAACTTGAAGTCCCTGTCCATTTCCAGTGAGCTGAAGTTGTAGATGCCGACGTCAATGTAGGATGGAGAGTGTAGAGCTTGCTCCGAGAGCGGAGATATTGAACTAATTGATGAAAGGGATTCAACGTTTACGATGGCTAAAGGAGCCAATGGCTCTAAGAGCCTTAAAAGTCCAAGTATGGGCGTCTCAAGAGTGGATGGCCCAGAGTAATCAAGCTCAGGAGTGGTTGCAGTCGTTGAAGGTGGTGACTTCTTGGGCCCACTGGTGAAGAAAGCCTTGAGCGTCTTGAAGCCAGAAGCCTTGGGGGTCCTTGGGAGCTTTCCGCTTTTACATCTGGAAGGTTGAAGTTGACGTCCAGGGTACAGTCCAGAGTGCAGTGTGAAGTCCAGTGAAGAAGAGTTCAGAATGAGCCAGGTAGTTTGGAACGGGGTATGTAGAACGCATTTTCACCCCTTGAATTTTCGCACCTCAACATTTTCTTTGATATAAAAGCCAAAGACACCGGTGCCGAAGGCGCCCTTTGAAAAAAATTAAGTAAATTGTCCAAAGGGGGACCCTTCGGTGTTTGTTAGGGTCACATTCCTGAGGAAGGTAAGGCGTCCAACCCCCCCCCCCCCCCTAAATCCGCCCCTGTTCAAGACGAAACTAAAATTTGTTTGTGTTGGCGCAGTAATATTATCAATCACTTGCCCGATTCTATTGTTTGAATTTCTGTTTGTTAGGAGTTCGATCTATCAGGGTCATTTTTTTACAATAATTCCGAGTGCTGGACGAGGGGGGTGCGTTTTTGCTCCTCAGTATCATAATTATCATCCTTCTCTGCTGTTCTGTCTGCGTATTAACAGTTCTGATTGTCTACTGCAACACGATGGCCTCATCGGCCAAAACTGCTCCAGCTATTCGCCCAACTACTGCAGGATATAGGTAGAACCCTTTTTTAATTTTCCGATCGGGGGTTCTTGATAGTTTTCAAATTATTATCTTGATGGAGCCAAAAAATGGATGACACTACAATATATAGTCGGTATAACGAAATTTTTCTATCATAGCTCTGAATAGAATTCAAAATCAAAAAATGCTTTTGCTGTTTTTGACTCACTCTGATATTTTTAATGCGAAGTTGAGTCCGGGTCAGAACTATGAGATTTATATGAAATAAATAATCACGAGCAAACTAAACCTGCGCAAGGATACCAGGCCTACCGTATGATTTATTGTTTCGATCACGTCACTTTCAAACCAAAACGCGAACAATAATACCAAGCGACTCCGGGTATATTCTTTGCAAAAAAAATTTTGAAAAAATTTGAAAATAATATATGACAAAATAAAAACAGAGATGGCTTGGAACGAACTTTAATCGCCGCGTAAATAATAACCAGGTCCAGTTTCATTCGTGTTTTTTTTTTAATTTTGGCAAAATGAGAATGTGGCTGTGTAACAGACCAGTCATTAATTAGACAGAGTGCGAGTAATTGAGGCCTTTTTTAAACTTCAGTCGGTCAAGGTTATGGATACAGCACATCAGGAAGTGGGAACTATCCGTTCATGCCTGTACCTGTCCAATCACAGAATCAGCAACCCCAGCCCGATTATCCGGGTCAATCAGTTGATCGTGAGCAAGCAAACACAAACGGAGTTTCAGCTGCGCCAACAGCTTCGCTTCAAGTTAGTTCTTACGTTGCTATTTATGAATTTTCAAAAAACTTTTTTTTGGCTAGAAAATGAAATATAAAATTTTTTGCGCAAAAAAACGAAAGTTTTCATGCGTTTAGATGAGCTTTTAGAAATATTTGATCCAATACTCTTTGTTTTCAGGCGTTGATTTGCAGCTTGGCTGAAAATCAACCAACATTTTGTGAATAACCCTAATATTTAAACCGTACAGTCAATTCAATTTTAATAATCTGAAAATAAAGCCATCAGAAAAAATGACCAGTTTAATTTTCAGTGCTTTTTCTCTATACCAGACACTTGAAACTGCGGAAATGCATAGAATTGTTATCAAAAAAGGAAAAAAGAAATTTTGACAGCAAAATCATGTTTTCTACGTTCGAAAAAATGCTTTTTGATTACAGGAAAGCTCATTGATACACAGCAACGCAAATTCTGAAACAGAGAGCGAGCAACCTCCAAATCAGCCAAAAAATAACTACAATTTCCAAAATTCAGGAGTTTCTTCTTTCGGCTTCATGGGAGAACAACCAAATCAACACCATGCTTATCCACGCTCAGGTCTGTAAAGTTTCACTTTCCTGCAAGTGAATCAAAAGAATTTATGTGTAAAAATATCTTATTTTTTTATTACGTTTTTGCTGTGACAATTTTGATCATGCTGGCTTTGTATTTGAAAGTATCGATAAAAAAGCTCTTTTGAGCTCTTACAATTTTTTCTTCGTTTCAAAATTATAACCATCAACATAAAAGGTGTTACAGTTGTGCACACAGAAACTTTTAGGGGGTGATGTTTTCGTCTAACTTTTTTTCCGATGTTTTTTTGAGTTTGAACAATATGATATTCCCAGATCCCCGAAAATCCTATGAAAAGCTGAAAAATTCTGCGCCACTTGAGATTTTTTTAACGAAATGGTCAAAAATAGCTTTATGATCAGTTTTGGCCAAAATATATATTTTTTTGGCACACGCTCCTTTTAGTTTAAATATTTTATTTTTTGAGCTTAGAATACCTTCAATAAAAATTAAGGTATGTCAATCAAAAATGAATCTCGTAAATTCGTTTACCAAACGGGGGACCCTTTGGAAAAACTAGGCAGTCAGAATTGAAATAGTGGTCGCTACTGAGCTGTTCTGTGAGTTCCTTGTTCTTTAGTTGAAAATGGCATGCAATTTCTATTATTAGATTAGAATTCATGAACAAGGCTAACGGTAGGCCCTCAAACCTTAAATTTCTGTACTAGGAGGCACGGATGCACGAGACTCTTTTTCATCGCTCGATGTTATCAATTCCTAACGACATTCAATTATTGTTTTTTTGTGTTCAGCCGGTCAAGGTTTTGGATACAACTCTTCAGGTAATGACCAGACCGAAAGCCTTCAGCAACCCAAGCACCCTGGTCAATCAGTTGGTCTTGAGCCAGTGACCACTGCCGAATTTTCAACTGCGCCGTTGTCAACAACTCAAGTTAGCTTTTGAAAATTTTTGTTATGAAAAATTCTGAGTATGTCAATTATTATACTACAAACTAATTGATAATAACTTTTATAACCTTTGTCTACCTTGCGATTCAAGATTAGAATCACACCGGAGGTGGATCAATTGAGTGTAACATTTAATTAGCAAAAAATTACCATGCTCAACTCAAAAATACAAGCTCAATAACTTGATCCCGCGATCTAACCGTCCTTGCAAGTTGCAAGGGAAAAGTACGCGCAAGAGTCAAAAACTTTCTGTCCCAAAAACTCTCGGTATTTATATGTAAACTACTTCTTTGTAACAGGAAAACTCTTTGACGTACAACAATCCAAATACTGAAATACCGAGCGAACAAACAGAAAGCCAGCAGAAACAAAACTATAATTCCAAAATCCAGGAGAAGCTACTTTCGGCTTCATGGGAGAACAACCAAATCAAAACCATGCGTACCCACGCAATACGAACAGTTCAGGCCAGTAATTTTCAATTTGTGATACAACTGAAATCCCTATTTTTTGAATATTATCGGTTTGATCATTTTGACTTATCCTCTATATCAAATTATCCCTAACAGAGTTCTTTATGCTCTAAGGAAAACATATGGTTCACGTATTTAAGTAAAATTATGACTAACCTACAAGCTTTTCAGCGAACCCTTGTTTTCGTTATTTGTGAGCTCAGAAAGGAACATAGTTCACGGTGGACCTCGAATCTTAAAATGCTTGACTGGGGGGAGCGAGCGCAAATATACTAAAAATTATGCTATTGACATGCAACTAAACTTTTTTTTGGTGAAGGTTATGGATACAGTACCGCAGGTAATGACCGGACCGGAAATGATATGTTCATACCTGTTCCCGAATCATCGCCGAATCAGGAGCTCATGAACTCTGATCAATCAGCCGCTTTTGGGCAAGCGACCATTACCGAAGTTTCAATTGCGCCGTCATCAACAAATCAAGTTAGCTTTTGCATATTTTTGTTATGAAAAATTCTGAATATGTCAATTATTATACTACAAACTAATTGATAATAACTTTTATAACTTTTATAAAAGCTTCTGAAGATGTCAGTTATTATAAAGTAAAATAATTGATAATAATTGTTATAACATTTGTCTACCTTGCGATTCAAGATTAGAATCTCTCCCGAGGTGGATTAATTGAGTGTAACAATAATTTAGAAAAAAAATTACCATGCTCAACTCAAAAAGACAAATTCAATAACTTGGTCCCGCGGTCTAGCCGTCCTTGCAAGTTTCAAGGGAAAAGTACACGCAGGAGGTAAAACTTTTGTCCCAAAAAACTGTCGGTATTTATAGGCAAACTACTTCTTTGTAACAGGAAGACTCTTTGATGTACAACGACCCAAATACTGAAAAGCCGAGCGAACAAACAGAAAGCCAGCAGAAACAAAACTATAATTTCCAAAATTCAGGAGACGCTACTTTCGGCTTCATGGGAGGACAACCAAATCAACACCATGCGTACCCACGCAATACGAACAGTTCAGGCCAGTAATTTTCAATTTGTGATACAACTGAAATCCCTATTTTTTGAATTTTATCGGTTTGATCATTTTGACTTATCCTCTATATCGAATTATCCCTAACAGAACTCTTTATGCTCTAAGAAAAACATATGGTTCACGTTTTTAAGTAAAATTATGACTAACCTACAAGCTTTTCAGCGAACTCTTGTTTTTGTTTTTTTTTGAGCTAAGGAATGAACATAGCTCACGGTGGACCTCGAAATTTAAATAGCCTAAGGAAAGGGGCGCAAATATACCAAGTTTATGCTATTGACATGCAACTAAACTTTCTTTTGGTGAAGGTTATGGATACAGTACCGCAGGTAATGACCGGACGAGAAGTGATATGTTCATACCTGTTCCCGAATCATCGCAGACTCAGGAGTCCATGAACTCTGATCAATCAATCGCTTTTGGGCCAGCGACCATAACCGAAGTTTCAACTGCGCCATCATCAACAACCCAAGTTAGCCTTTGAAGATTTTCGGTATAAAAGCTTCTGAAGATGTCAATAATTTTACTGCAAACTAATTGATCATAATTGTTAGAACCTTTGACTACCTTGCGATTCAAGATTAGAATCACTCGCATTTTGGTTTATCTGAGTGTAAAATTTAATTGCCATGCTCAATTCAAAATGACACCCTCAAAAACGCAAGAGTGAAAAACTTTTTGTCCCAAAAAAAACTTTCGGATTGATAGGTAAACTAATTCTTTGTAACAGGAAAACTCTTTGACATACAACGACCCAAATACTGAAATGCCGAGCGAACAAAACAAAAACCAGCAGAAAAGAAACTATAATTTTCAAAATCCAGGATTCGCTACTTTTGGCTTCATGGTAGAAGGACCAAATCAACACCATGCGTACCCACGCGATGCGAACAGTTCAGGCCAGTAAATTTCAGTTTTTGATACAATTGAAATCCTTCAGTTTTCGAACAATATCAGTTTGATCATCCTGACTCATCCTGTATTTTATATTATCTCTAACAAAATTCTTTCAGCTCTAAGAAAAATGTTTCACGTTTTTAAGTAAAATTATGACTAATCAACAAGTTTTTCAGCAAACCCTTGTGTTTTTGTTATTTTTGAGCTATGAAATTAACATAGTTCAAGGTGGACCTCGAATCTTAAATTGCTTGACTGGGGAGGGGGGGCGCAAATATAACAAAAAATTTATGCTATTGATATGCACCTAATACTTTTTTTATTGGTGAAGGTTATGGATACAGCACCGCAGGTAATGACCGGACCGGAATTGATATGTTCATGTCTGTCCCCAAATCATTGCAGACTCAGGAGCCCATGAGCTCTGATCAGTCAGTCGGTTTAGGGCCAGCGACAATTTTCGAAGTTTCAGTTGCGCCAACAGCATCAACGCAGGTTAGTTTTTAAGGATGTTTTTTTACATAAAATTTTTCTGTCGTTAAAAATTGAAGCATATGTTTTTTATACAAGAATGCGTCCGCGAGTCTTCGCGTCTCTATGAATTTTTGAAATATCCTTGTGGTTTGCGTTTTTTCAACATGTCATTTTTCTAATTTAAATTTTGATTAATGAAAAGCAAAGCTAATTTCTCACAAAGCTCAAATCGAAAAGACAATTATTAAACACAAAGTTTCCCTTTTTGTTTAAAAACTTCATGTTGACCTAATTTCCGACAGGAAAATTCTTTGGCCATCCGCAGTGCAAACTCTGAGATGCCGAGCGAGCAGACTGAACATCAGCCAAAAAAGAACAACTTCCAAAATCCGGGAGTGGCTACTTATGGCTTCTTGAGGGAGGAGCCAAGAGGACTTGATACTTATGAAAATGAAAAATACACTTCAGGTCAGTACTTATTCACATTATCAATCATAGTTCAGTTAGAGAAAAATTAATCAATTTAGCCAAAAATGTATTACGAGAGACATAAAATCCTGATTAACGACAGACAATGAAGCAAAAAAATTCAACAATAAAAAAAATGCTCATCGAAACAATTTAAAATTTGTTTTAAAATGTCACTTTTAGATGCTTGTTTTTTTACTTTTTTAAAAATAATAAATACTGATTCAGGCTTAACGCCAGTAGAAGATGATCAAATTATCAATAATGATCAAACTCACGTGGAAACCGAACAGAACCAATTAGACGAACAACCAAAACAGCCTAAAACTGAAGAAGAGCATGACGAAATTGCAAATAATACCGGTCATTCAGCCGAAGAGATAAGTGAAAGAAAAACTGACACAGAACCAGAAACAGTCGAAGAACCCGAAGTAAAGAATGATGCTGAAAAACAAGCCGCTGTTGTTCAAGGTCAACAGCAAAACCCAAGTGATCCTGAGGACGGAATCACCGGCCCACTCTTATCCGAGCAATTGTTGGCCGAAGGAGATCCTAAAAACGAAAAAACCGACGAACCCAACGACGATTTTATTAGTGAGCGCTAAAGTGATAATAGTCAGAACTCGAATGACAAAACCACATATAAAGGCCAGTTTAAGTACAGTTATGCTTATTGTAAGACAAAAATGTGTGATAATAGTTCATAAACTACATGCTATCTTAAATAAAAAATAAATATTGAAGTATCTGTTATTGATTGCATGAACAAACTGTTTGAATTTTTCCAGGACATCCTTGAGAGATAAAAAAGAAGGCTTTCTAAAGCATGTACGCAAAAATAAAAAAAAAACCTAAAACAACGCCAAGGGCTAATTGTTGAAAAATACCACCGAAGCAGATACATTTTTCGAAGAAAAAGACGGAATAATTGTGCTCGACGGAATAAATGTGGTTTTTTTACAAACAAATTTTGACTTTTTAACGAGAAATTTTGACAGAATTTTTTAGCCGAAAAGGAAAGTTGTCTTTCATAAGACTTATTACGCAAACCCATAATTTGAGATGATAAAGACCCTGTTTCCTCAAATCTTGAGTCAACAAATTTAATGGTCTTGCATGTACAATGTTTTGAAAACGACCTGAAATTAGATCTCCAACACAAACAAAAAGATGAAAATATCAATTTGATGAAAAAATAGTGAACATTTCCTAGGATGCTAACTTACTAAACTTGAAATTTTTAGTGGCAACAGAAAGTGCAATAGAAAAAACATACTTTGGAGCGTTTTTGAAAAAGATTTTCCAGATGTTGCAGCGCAAATATAAACGCAAAGGTGCGAGAGTATAAATGCATATAAAATTGAACCAAAATGTAAATGCATATAGGGAAAGTAGCCAAGCGTATACAGGGTGCGTCCCGGCGGGTTCGGCGCCGGTTCGAATCCCGACTAGGTCATTTCCTTTCTAGAACTCGAATATGCACCGAACTTGATGGGATGCTCCGTAACCAGGTTCAATCCCCCCAAAACCTCTTTTTAACCGTCTTTTCCCTCTAATTTGGTTCAGCCTTGATTAAGGCTGACCTTCAAAAGAGCATTTTGTCTCAAGGACAAATACTGGCCATTTTTGCAGCTTGCTTTGAGTTATGCAGTTTTTGTGGCCGATGTTACCGATAACAATAAAAAAGCTTGTTAAAAATATCGTTATTTTCCCGATAAAATACTCGTTATTATTCAAGTGTTTGGAAAACAGATTTTATCACGAAGGGTGGAGATTGAGCGCACATTTTGGCGCCCCACAATGGACCTTTTCTTTGTGAACAAGGAATCCCCGTCCACTACTGCACTCCGATTAGCAGGCAAATCATCACACAGGGCAATACAGGCAGACAACAGTAGATGCCTCCAATATCGAGAACAAAGCAGCAGCTAAACTTAGACCTAAACACAAAATCTTCAGTTTGGGATCTTCATTCCGACGATCAGTCCGACGAATTCAATCAGTCTTAACGCATAAGATTTATAAAAAATGAAGGACACGGGCGAGACTATTATAGGAAAAAGACAAAAATTCGAGAATGCAAGTCAACGAGAGATATTCTGAACCGTGATCAAGGTTAGCTGCAATTCAGAAAGCCTGTTTGCGACTGCACGTCTCTCCTGTGTCGCCAATCTTCAGAAACTAACTCTGTTTGACGAGCAGCAATTTATTGAGGTGAACGACAGCAGTTCTGAGTGTTGATCAGAGGGTTTCAAAAAAGGAAACACGTCAGAAAACCTGTGCCGGACAGCATGATTGTGTTCAACCCCGATTACTGCAAAAAACAGAACTGTGGTCAACAACAGATTTTCTGCTCGCGGGGGGAACAGTGAGGCCACCAGTTTTCGTACAGACGTCTTGTTAGCGACCGAAACTCTGCAGGATCCGGTGACCGCCCAATCTCCAAAACTGTAAGACTATTCTAATTTTTACAAACTTGCAATAAAATTACGTACGATGTGTTAATGTCTTATTGTGTATCCCAACTCAAAGCAAGCTACAAGTGTTAATTTTCGCGATACCACAAATTTTTGGGTAATTGTGAACGGATTGAAAATCCAGAAAAAACGGAACATAGACAAGAGGTACTGGACTAGTTTTTTGGATTGGTTTACGACTCGAACCTGCTGACCAAAATTTTCCGAAAAATGTTGGGAAAAAAAAGTAAAAAATTTCCAAAAAAAAACGTCAAAACGTCCCCTTAATTCTGCGAAACTGTGCTGTAACATGACTCCAACCTTATGGTAAGTGGTCTGGTAGCGAAATATCAGGCAAATTAAGTTGAGTTTTTTCATCCTCAGGTTTTTTCCGCTTGTGTTTGCCTGATCCCCCACCCACAACTGAAAGCCAGTGCGCTTCAAGTAAATATAGGCCGTTTCAGCCCGTCCGATAATTGACTTCGTTGCGCGACACTAATGTTAAGTGGTCAGGTTCGGTGATATTAAGTGAGTTAAGTTGAATTCTTTCATCCTCAGGTTTACTCCATGTGTGTTGTTGAAGTTCAACCGACCTACTAAATTTCCCCACCACATTGGTACTTAAGCGTAACGTAGCAGTCGCATAGGTCTCTTAAGTGTATGGTATTCATTCTAGGGGCTAGTTCCTTGGATCACGCGCTCTGTATGCTATCCGCCCCGTCTCAAAAACGCGTGAAAGAGACTTGTTCCACAAAGCGCGGCTTAAGTTTTAACTTTAACGCCAGGTAAAAGTATTTTTGGATTTACTTGAGTGAAAATACAGTATTTTCTGAGAGTCGTTTATTTCTGAAATTATTAAGCATGGAAGTTAAGTTTCAGAAGAAAACTAAGAAGTTGTTTGCGAAACGTAGCAATCTCGAAAACGATATTTATAAATGCCATGAAATAATTTTATAATACATAGAGAGTCAGAGTCGTTGCTCAAAAATTGATACTTATATTGAAAAATGTAGGAACTATATAGAACAAGCGGTCGAGATAAATAGTGAGATGATTGATATGGCTGCAAAAAGTGCCAATCCCGACGAATTGATACCGGCACAGGATATGTGGCTTCATAAGTGGACTCAAAGCAACGATAAAGTTCTGCAGGAAGCTATCACATCCAAAACAAGTTTTGAGGCAGTAACAGAGCCGGACAAAATAGATAGCAGCTCAAAAGTTTCTCATCATTCTGAAAAAAGTGAAAAACCCCGGTAGCATAAAACAGATACCCGCTCTAAGTTGTCGCATCGAAGAAGTCGAAATCAGCAATCGGGTTCTCAGAAATCTAGTTATACCGCCGCTCCGTCGAAAACATTTTCTGAGAATAAAAGCGTGATTTAATGATTTTAAAGAAACAACAAGAAGAACTTGAGAGGCAGGCAAAGGTATCATTAAGGCTGAAAGAACAACAAAGCAGATTAGAGTTGGAAGAATTGGCTGAAGAACACAGAAAAAAACTGGCAGAAATTGAGTTGAAAGGGCTTGAGCTAGAAGATGAGTTGTCGGAAATCAGCGAGAATGCTGAGGAAAGTGGTTTAACTCGAACTTCTCCACAACTAACAATAGA